GCCCCAGCTCTGGGCCCGAGGGGCTGACAGGGATCCAGCACACGCCTAACCCTGAGAGAGCTCACAGCTTGGTACCACAGGGTCTAAGTGTGATAATAAAGGAACTTTCGAGGTTCTCGGAGTGGTTCATTCTGTTTGGGGGATTGCAGTGAGGACAATTGAGCTGGACTTTGAAAGATAAGAGCTTGCCATTGGATAAAGGGTGCAGGTCTTTCTAGTCAGTGCAAGGGTGGGACAACACACTTGGCTTACAGCTTACAGTGTGGTAACCACATTTACAAGGAGTCATGGGGGCAGGGGTCATGGACAGGGTGCAGGGAGTAAGGCAGTCCTTGGGTTACAGATGTCTGACTTGTGGACAACTCGTAGTTAGGAACGAACTGCCATAAAGCTATTGTATTAAAAATTTGAGTTAAATACAATGGTTCGTAATAATGAATGCACCACTATTTTGTGATGCTCATGAAAACATTGCATGGTTTGGAAGTGCTTCTTAAGTGTTTTACACGCATAGAAAGGTAAAATATATACTATATACTAAGACAAACATTGGACTAATGCTAAATAAGAACCATATGTGCCTGTTCCCACTTACCTACAAACTGGGCTTAAAGACAGACTTAGGAAGAGATCTCGTTAGTCACCTGGGGACTGCCTGTACTGCAGAGGCTGAGTCATGAGGTGTGTAGACCAAGTATGGCTTTTAGAGTGGAAAGAAATGAAAGGGCTAGATTATAAGAGGCCTTGAGAGTCAGGCACGTGGGCTTTATCTGGGAAGAGACGAGTTTTGGATTGAGCAGGGGATCCTATGGTGAGCTCTGTGGTTCTCCAGTTCCTTCTAGGTGGATGGGGATGGAGGATGGTTTGGAGGGAGCTGAGTGGCAGGGAAACTGATGAAGTCCAGGCGAGAGATGATGAGTCTAAGCTAAGAAGAGTGGGCAGAGGCCTAGAGGAGAAACAAGAGGGGTCCAGGGGACTTATTTGAGGGATGGGGGCTCTTGTCTCCGAGAGGCCCTGCCTCTGCATATGGGGAGGGGCCTATGAGGGCAGCACTTGCTAACAACTGCACTGAATCCAACAGGTCTTTATAAGTACCTGTTGCAGACTCCATTCTGTCCAGGTCCCTGGGGACAAAGCTCCTGCCCATACAACAGAAAAACTGCTAACATATCGGACCAGAAGGAAGAGAGCGGGCAAGGTCTGTGTGGAAGGGGTAAGGAAGCTGCCCAGGGGCATACCAGAAGGGGCAAGACAGACATGGTAAGAAAGGGTGGGTGGGGGCAAGTGGCCCAGTTCCGCTGATCTGCCCTGTTCTTTGAAAGAAGATTCCCTCCCCTGGCTGGCCCCACCCACTTTGATGCATGCATTCCACAGAACAGGTTGCTCTTCTTATCCACTCATTCAACCCACTCTGGAGTTTCTGACCCTCCAGGCACTCAGCCAGGGGGATGCACACGTATGGACAGATTAGAGCAGCGTGTGGATGGGCTGTGGTGGAGCCACGCACAGAGGGCTGCCCAAACCAGGAGGGAGAGGCTGACTTGGCCCTGGGGAGCTGGGGATGGGGTCTCAGAGCAGAGGACAGCTGGCATGGCCATTGAAGATTAAAATGTTTACCAGACAAAATGAAGGCAAAGAGCATTCCAGAAGGCAGAAAGCATGTGCAAAGGCACAAAGGTGTGAAGCAGTGTGGCCTGCTCCGGAAATAGCCAGAGGGTAGGTATGGCTGGAGGAGGGTGTGCCTCAATAGGAGGGAGCAAGAGCAGGAGGGAGTAGGGAAGAGGCTGGAGGTGGATCCCGGGGCCCTTCGAAGGAATAGACATATCCCATAGGCAGAGAGCTCAGGGACTCGGCTCTGTGTGGGGCTGTCTGTGGGTCTCAGCTCCCTTGCTGTGTTCTCTTTTAAAACAACAACAACAACCCAAAAACCCATTGCCGTCGAGTAGCAATCCTATAAGACAGTAGAACTACCCCACAGGGTTTCCAAGGAGGGACTGGTGGATTCAAACTGCAGACCTTCTGGTTAGCAGCCAAGCTCTTAACTGCTGAGCCACCAGGGCTCCGTGTGCTTTTGCTATCACTTCAGTTACACTCTGTCCAGTCACCACAGGGGGTTAACACTGAAGGGCTTCCTGTTAGGGATCCATGCAGTGGGAGAAGTCTCCTCTCATGCTGATAACAGAGCAGCCTCTAAATTCTTGCTGCTCAATGGTGTTAAGAAAAAAGGGCCCACTTTGTCACATACATCTTGTAAAATGGCAGCCTCATTTCCCTAACAATCACAGCTGATGCTCTGTGTCCTCCAGGGTTTCTGGGGTGTGGGGCTGACTCTGGCCTAGCCTATAGAGGAGGAGTTCTTTCTAGAAGGAGGAGCACTTCCACTGACAGTGACCGTGCATGCGGAGCACAGGTGGGAGAGGACATTCCTCACTGTGAGAGCTAAAGTTTTTATATCACCCCAAACAATGTGGCTGGAATACAGTCTATTGGTATCATTTCCTTTTTTTTTCCATTCAGTGTGCTTGGTTGGTTTTAGACCTGAATATTGCACTCCATTTTGGCACGTGAACGCTTACTGAAAACCAGCTTCAAGAAATGGTGTAAAGTTAGAGCTTTGTTTAAAAGACCCATTGCTACTCCCAGCTGATGACAGATGTGCCAGGACACATTTATTTGGATCTTTTGCTGTGAAACCCATTTGCTATGGTGGATGGGACTGGAGGAGCGGGCTCTGAGTCTTCACACTGTTTCTAACAGTGGACCATTTAAGAACATTAATTGCCCTGACCCATGCCAACAGACTGTGTGACAGAGAGTGGAGGCTGGAGGGCCCCAGCCAGCTGAGCTGGAGCAGGACGGATTCACCGGCGGTTTGTGTTTGAAGCTAGTCACAAATGGGGCAGCTGAGCAGAAGCTTACCCAGAGGTGTAGAGAAAAGGGGCTAGGAATCGACAGGCAAGCATGGACCAAGTCCTGACCCTACCAGGTGACCCCGCAGGCCTTTCTTTCCTCATCTGAAAATGGAAACGGCATTACTGAGCTGCCCAGGGTGACAGGAGAATCAAGCTGATGACATTTCTAAAATGTTCCCGTGTAGGAGGCTGAAGCACACGTCAGGCTCTTCCTGTCCTCTCGATTTTAGGCCACGTGTCCTGCTTTCTGCTAGGAAAATAGTCATTCCAAGTTTCTCCTGTCACCAAACAGCCCTGACTGAGCTCTGCTGGGCCTGCTTACAGGAGCCCTCTCAACTAGGGAAGCGCTCTGCGTTTGGGTTCTGCCATTGCCTGGGGGAGCAGGAGGGAAGAGGCTGCACTGCAGGTGGCTTTGCTCCTGGAGAGTGGGCTCTGGCAGGAGGGAGGGGCAGGCCAGGACTAGCAGAGGGCCCCCTGCTGTACAACAACTCACCAACAAGTGGAGACAGCTTGGGTTAACACCCTTCTATTTGGGCTTAAAAATACTTCTGGGAGGGGAAGCCACCGAATTCATTCCAACAGGCACTTTCTGAGCACCTTTTCCAGGCTCTGTGTTGGACCTTGAGTCAACTGCTCTCGTCAGTTTAAGGGGACTTGGGTTGGGAAATGGTAAAGGATGTTAGAAGGAAGAAAGCCAGAAAGAAAAGAATTAGGAGAAGAAAGCCATATGCACCTGTCTAGGACAAATGTCTGCCCCACCGTGGCCCTCCCCCTTGCCCTGCATTTGCAAGCATTTTCTGAGTGCTAGGCGCCGTGCCAGTGCCCTCAAAGACTCTTCTTCACCTTCTCTCTGAGTGTGATGGTCAGCTCTGTCCAGGGTCCCAAGATCCTTTCAAGAGGACCTTCTGGGAAAGGGCCAGTTTAACCCCAAAATGCAACAGCATCTGGAGAGCTTCGCTTTGCAGGGGCCATCTCCTGTCTGCCTTGTCGTCAATGAACCCTGGACCCTGGCTCGCCCACAGATACCAAAGCACCACCTCTGGCCACCTCTAAGGCTTCCCCTCTGACAGGGGGGGCTGCCTGGGGACACAGATAGAGACAAGCAAAGAGTCTCTTGGAAGGAAGAGCTTAGCTTCCCTTTTCCTAACACCAGGTCTAACCCCTGGGATTTTGACCCTTGTTTTGACGCTGACCCTTATCCAGAGCTTATTTGCCTCCCCTCAGCAGCTCCCCCTTCCTCCTGAGCACCTAGCACTGGGCTGGGCGCATAGTAGCCTTCTGGCAGTGCTTGTGTGAACTGGCTTGCCATGTGCTGAGCGCCTCGTCCATGGAGGTGTCCATTCAGAGGTCACATGACCTCAGGTCAGGGAGGTTGGAGAGAGGATCCCTGCTTTGAGGTTGAAGTCCAATAAAATCCAATCAAATGACCTCTCAGGACCCTGTCAGTGTGGACACTCAAGGAGCCTGACCTAGTTACTTCTTAATTATTTCTTAATTAATAACAAACTGAATATTGCAGCAACAAGGCAAACTAATGAAATAAATGAAGCTAATCTGTTAACTACACTCGTGTAGCACATGATTGGGACGGGAGATCAGCGCACACCCACTTGATATTTCCACCTCGTTTTCACAGGACGAGGGGTAGGAAGTAAACATGATGTTCCCAGGCTTTCACTGGTAGTCTCTCGGAGGCCCTGGCACACCCAGGATTCTGCTTCCTCGAGCTCTTCCCTCTCCACAGCTCTTAGTCTCTGGATTGTTGGTGTCCCATGCCCCAAACTTAGCAGCAGTTTCACCCCGGTTGTTACTTCCCGTGAGCCCAGAATAGAAGATGCCATCTGTCACGTTTTGGATGTCATATGTCCACTGAGGAATCGCAAGCAGGGTGGATTGCTGAAAGGCACTGGGAGGAAGGCAGGCGAGAAATCAGTCTTTCAAAGCACAGCTCAGCAGAACATGAAGATAATTAGCCGGGAATTTCAGATGGGAATTCTCTGCAGCCTACCATTTCTCCACAGGCAGGAAGCCCAGAGGTTCGTCCGCAGTCCTGAAGGGTTCTCTCCTTCTAGAAGGACAGAGAAGCCCTCAGGACAGAAAGTGTTTGGACTGGGGGAGCTTATTGGCACTGTTTAGGTGGGGTGGGGAGGTGACCTCCGACAGCTGGGCCAAGGGGGTGGCTTCCTGGGGAGTGCCACTGCAAGGGGGCTGGCACCCTGAGGTGCCACTCCGGCCACACACCAGGCGCTTTTCATCCAGCAAGGACAGGTGGTATTCACACAAGTCAATCAGCGAGGCCACTTGCTCGTGGAGTGGCATCATCTTGAACTTCCTCTGAGCCAGGTAAAAGAAAGCCTCTATGAATGCCTGCAGACACATCCCTGTGGACAGAGAGACTGGCGTTAGGGGGTATGTGCAGGAGCCCCCCCAGCACGCTGCCCTGGAAGGGCCCAACTCCAACCACAAGGCTGCTAACAGGAGTCAGCCTTTCTCCCCACCACCACTACAATTGGAAACTACCAATAGTGTGATGGTTAACTTTATGAATCAACTTGGCTAGGCTGTGGTGCCAGGCTGCTTGGTCAAATGCTGGTCTAGACATTGCTATGAAGTCATTTACATGTGATTAACATTTAAATCAGTTGATCTTGTGTAAAGCAGATTACTCTCTATAATGTGGGTGAGCCTCATCCAGTCAGTTGAAGGCCTTAAGAGTGAAAACTAAAGTTTTGGACAGAAGAAGGAATTCTGCTTCAACACTACAGTAACATAGATATCTTGCTGGAGTTTCCAGCTTCTAGCCCACCTGACTATGGATTTTGGACTTGCCATCTCCCACAATCTCATGAGCCAAGTAAAATCCATCTCTCTCTGTATATATATTTTGTATATCTCACAGTACATTTGTGAGGTCAATATTATTATGACCTACCTTATGGATGAAGAAACTGACACTCTGAGAGGTTAAGCAACTTCCTTAAGGTCACACAGCTAGAGAATGGTGGCCTGAAAATTCAAAGTCTGACTCGTAATTCTTTTAACTAAGTTCAGCTGCATGAAATGCTGTGCGTCTTCTCAATGTCAAAGTGAAAATGAAGCCCGCAATCCAAATTCATCGGATTCCCTGGGCTCCTTGGGGAAGGTGACACCAAGACTGGACTGGAATGCCACACAGCATTTTAGAGGAGGCTGGCTCCGGCTGTGCTAATCTACACCTTCCCAGTGGCCTGGCTTCCCTGGATTGGAAGCATTAGTCATCTGTGCCTGTCACCGCAGGCAGAAGTCTGGCCTGGAGTTTATAAATACTGGAATATATACGGACCCTGGGATCCAGAGTTCTTTTTGCCTTGGGAACCTGAGCTAAGCAAAGAAGTTGCTTTTTTTTTTGTCTCCTTCCAAGTCAGTGAAAGCTTTTTTTTTTTGCTCAGTTTCTCTTGACTCCAGATGCCCTGCAAGTCCTCTGCTCTATTTGGCCCTGACAGAGGGCTTGGTAGAGAACAGTTCCCCTCTTTTAATATAAACAGTGACCAGGTTGGCAAAGACACAGGGAAATGGGGGCCAGGCTCTAACTTGAGACATTTCCCAGTCACCAACTCTGGGGCAGGGCTCTACTAGCGTGTGCGTTGTCTGTGTGTGTGACTTCTCAGGGAGGAATCAGACATAACTCTCACCCATTACAGGTGGGTGGGAGGGTCAAATTTATGCAAAGTGGAAGAGGCCAGGATCTAAAGCCAAAGAAATCCCACACCAGCCCCAGCCCCCACTTCCCAACTGTGTGATCGAAACGCTGCTACTTCAAGTGTGGTCGACCCAGTGCCAAGTCCAAGAACTGCATGTCCCTGGTCCCTGACAAGATAAGGAGCCTGAGCCAAAGTGTAAATCATCCTGGTCATCCATTACATTGTTTAATTCTAATTGCTGACATTATTTGTAGAAAGTCTTTCTCTATGAAGGAAGCAGCTCACTGTTTACATTCTATTTCAGGCTTCTTGTCCAGATTACAATAGCTAACGGATTGCAACTCTGAGGAGCACCGATCTCGACAAAGCTTCTCAGCTGTAACATGCACACAGATCACCACAATCTTGTTAAAATGCAGATTCCGGGGCAGGGCTGCATTTCTAACAAGCTTCCTGGTGATACCGATTCGGCTGGTCTCTGGACCACTCTCTGAAGTAGCAAGAATAGAGCAGTTCACTGCAGCTTTTCACTCAAATACTGACTTCGGTCCCTGAACTGACAGCAAACTATGATTAGAGCTGCGATGCACAGGAAAAATACAGCGATGAACTTTTTGGAAAAGAAAAATATGCGTGACAAATCATCTGGAAGAAGATATTCTGAAATGAGAAGTGGGATTTCATGTGTTATACTTTGTTTTCTTTTTTTTGTTTATGTTGTAGTTTAAATGAAGTTTACATTTCAAGTTAGTCTCCCATACAAAAATTTATAAGTACATTGTTATGTGACCCTAATTGCTCTCCTCATACTATGACAGCACACTCCTCCTTTCCACCCCTGATTCCCCATGTCCATTCAACCAGCTCCTAACCCTCTCTGCCCTCCCATCACACCTCCAGACAGAAGCTGCCCATTTAGTCTCTTGTATCTACTTGAGCTAAGAAGGACACTCCTCACGAGTATCACTTTACATCCCACAGTCCCGCCTAATCCCTGT